TCCCATCTCTCTGGTGGACAAAGAAAAAACTGCAAAAATTGGTATTGCACTTTCAAAGGAATTTACACGTTAAAGAGCCAGTCAGGTGATGGTACTTAAGAAACAAATTATAATTTTGGCATGAATTACCTAGTCAATCCAAAGTTGATCATGTGCTGTTTTATGTGATGGTGAGTCAATTAGAATTCAAAATGTTACTAATCATGCAAGGGGGTTATAAAGGTGCTCTGTGGAGCCCCTTGTGGCACAGTAGCAGTGTTCCTTCCCCTGGACCAAGAGGCCCAGGTTCAAGTTTCACCTGCTTCAAAGGTGTGTGATAATATCTCTGAGCAGGTTGATTAGAAAAGATCTTCACAACGATAGTGGCTAGCAAGATCTTAATGCTTAGGTGCACAAAAATGGAAGACAGAATGGAATTGTACAAGAGGCGTAGAACCTAGTAGGCCAGAAGTCACAAGCTCATGTTCCGACAGGAACCAATTGAGTCTCAGCCTTTATGGTATGCAATCATTCTTTTGTACTTCTTGTGATGAACTTCATAACATACTTGTCGACAGATTGATAAGAACTATGAAGAATCAACATCGATAGATGTTACCAGATCTGTTGAGTTTCAAGGTTGAGAGAGATATGGGCCAAACAGGCAAATGGGACTAGTTTAGATTGGGAAACTTGTTCAGCATGGATGAGTTGGACCGAGGGGTCTATTTTCATCTATTTCATGACTCTATTTCATCAACCATCTTCCTTTGTATTAAGTACGATTCTAACTAGTGTAGATCCCCCCCATGCCCCTCAAGTCCAGTTATGCTAGGGGTTCTTCACACAACTCAGTAACACGCTGCATTGATGAGTGGCCTGGCAGAATTCTAACTGAGCATCAGTGAGCAGGTTATTGCTGTGCAAGTGATAGCACTGTTGATGATACCTTGCACTTTTCGGATAATTGACAGCAGACTGATGGGATGGCAATTAGTCAGGTTGGATTTTCCCTACGTTATGCAGATAGGACATAGCTGCACAATTTTGCACACTGTTGGGTGAAGGCAATGTTGAATCTTATTAGGATAGCGGTAAATATGGAATATTTAATTTAAAATTCCGCCACCTCATTGTTGTACCCAGGACTGTTTATTAACTAACGAGCTCATTAAAGACTGCATTTATTACCAATATCATCACCAGGTGGCACTGCAATTGAACAAGAACACAGCTTTGTAGTCAAACTTCTGAGTTGCCTCACAGAAATCATTGAGCATTTGAATATGGTAGAATTGACTTGTCAATTATTTTATTAAGCTTTCAGCACTATGCAGAAAAAAAAATCCACGCAAGGGTGCCCCTGAAATGAATAGAAAAAAAAAGTGTTGACCTAGGGGCACGCTCAGAAAGCATCCTCACTTGTTGCCTTACTCTTTGCTCCACTCCCTGAGCAATGTGATAAAGTGGGCAACAGCCAGCAAAATGGAGGAGGGGCAATTGCCTGCAGCAAGGGGGACAGCAATGGCTTGTAGTGAGGGGAGGGTCAGCAGCCAGCAGGACAGCCAGGGTGGCTAAAGGCTTTGTTGCAACTGTGTGATGTGACCATCCAATCTGCACAAACACAGGTGGCTATCTTGGTATTGGTAACACAAACTCTCTTCATAAAGAGAAAGAAAAATAGACCCAAAATGGTGTAGGAGTGTTTTTCCCGACCAGGGACAAAGACTCCAGAGGCAGGCAGGATTCAGGCAAGTGGAAGATGTTTATTCAAGCAGAAACCGGTTTATGCAGGGAGTGGGCCAAAAGGATCTTCCCTAATTCTGGCTTCAAAGATAGATCAATGACACACCCTCTCCATTACAAAGAAATACAGCATTTTTATACATTTTGTGTTACAATAATCAAATGCAATGTATTCACTGTCCTTCCCCTTAATCCAAAACACCCAATCCAGTGGGTCACCTAAACAATGAAGGGCACTCCTACAGACAGCCCCAGGTTCCATGATCTTAAGGTATTAGCTAGACATTGCGATCTCTAGGCCTTGGGATCTTTCTACGCACTATTCATTCGCATTCGGGTCTTTCTCAGGCTTGTTTATCTGTAAGGATAGCTCGAATACTATTACTCATTGTATTTTGGTGCTGTCCTTTATCACATTCAGTTACCCCTTTTATTTTTTCACTGTCCCAATTACATAGTGTAAAAATAAAAACTAAAATAATTAATTAATTAGCTTTAACTAATTGCTATTAGGTTAACTTCTGTGGTTAAGTTAATCATAAGTGTGACGTTATACGACTACTTCTGCAGTCAGCATTTTGTAATTTATGAGTTGTGAGTAATCCAGCTTGTTCAGGGCATATCAGAAGGTGTCTCCTAAGGCTAGTTAACCTTCACATCTAGGCTTAAATGTTTTTCAAGGCTTGTATTATATTCTGGTTTGTCTATTGAAACCGACTTCTATGATTAGAACATTTTTAGCTAGAAACTATTTAATATTGCAGGTAGCTTTCAAAGAGGCAACTATTTACTATGAAACAACTTCAGCTGTTATCCTTACAGCTTCTTAAGGATTTAATCTAGCACCTGATGTTACTCATTTATTGGGACAATCATCCTTTCATTAGTAAGGCTGGAATTGGTCATTTACCTGTCCGAAGGCATCGTTTTATCAGAACTGGCTCAGACAGAAACATACAGCGTTCTTTTACTGACCTTCTAGCAGTTCTGTTCAAAGTATTTCACTGTGTGAGCAGACTGCTTAGTTTTGCTTAGCTTCTGTCTGCCATCTTGTAAGCAGGCATGAGCTGCTTCGTGTGGTCAGGTACAAGTCACCTTGCATAACCAGATACAGATCACCCCTACAATGGTAATAGTCACTTGACCACAGATAAAGCATAAATCGACCCATATGAAATAAACTAAAAACTGTCTGCACTAAAATTACCACTTCAAAAACATTGAAAGTGGGCAAATGAGTTAGTGCCAAGAATTTGCATCACCTGATTAGTTCACGTGTGTGTGAATGTTACACACAGGAAAATGAAAGGCTCACATCGGAGAACAGTCAGACTCCAATACACACTGTACTATATTGAAATAGCTGCTCTTGAGAAATAGCACAGAGAGAAGAAAATTAATCTGTGACATCAACAGCTGGAATTCTGCCTGTTTTTCTCATCATTCTGGAAAAAGGTGTTCAGTGAAGTAGTAATTTGGAAAAGCAACCATTTAGTAAGAACTCAAAGATACCTGAAGATTCTTCTATTGCTGTGGATACAGTTAGTAAATCATAATCTTAGGTTTACAATCCAAAGCATAAAAATGCAGAAGAACTTTTAAACTGCTTAGTATCATTTCTCCCTGTCTGTAATCCACAGTATTTTTCTAAAACTTATTACCTGACTTGGTGTGCATTGATATCAGTTTTGTTATCTTTTCTCATTGGTAGTAGATAATAAAATTCCTTTCTTTGGTAATTGGCCCTATCATTTTCTTCTAAGCCGTGTGCAAAAAATAAATAAAACATATTTTTTGCAAACAACCAAGAAGGGTTTGCAAAGGGGTGAGTTTATTTCACCTCCCCCCCCTCACCTTTTGTAATAATCTGTACTTGGACAGCTTGGCTATGGGTGTGCTTAGCAATGAGCACAAGCTTTCAGTACTATTGCTGCAATATTGTGAAAACCCAGAGTCTTTGGAGTTTCAAATGGTTTCAGCCAATTCTTTGTATATGAAGTGAATACCTGAAAACTAGTATCTATGATAAGGGGCATTTAGGAGAAGGTCAAGACAGATCATCCACTCTACTCTTCTGACCGAAGATGGCTACAAATGGCTCATTCTCGTCTCTGTACTGATATGCTGAGCTCCCCCACTGTTGGGAATAGGATATTAGTGGAGCATCCTCTTCCAGTTAGTTGTTTAATTTTCTGCCCATCCTTCACAACTAGACAGGGCAAGTCTTGGATCTGATTGTGGGATATGGAGGTTCAGTCATAAAGTACATTCAACATCAATATCGGTAAATTTTTAGATATTAAAAATATGAAGAAACATTGGCATAGTGCAGGAAAATGGTGTTGAGATATATAATCCATGATTTAATTGAATGACAGAGCAGGCTCAATGCACCAAATGGCCTACTTCTGCTCCTATTTCCTGTGTTTGTAATTCTGACTATTGCATGCTTTTAGTAGATTTGCAAGGTTGACAGCTCATTTTCAGGTATGCGTAGTTCCGGTTTTTACATGTCTTGCTCCACCTCTTCATTGAACCATGGGTAGTCCACCAACTTAATGATGATGGTACAATGAAGGAAATGCTAGGCCATGAAATTGTGGATGAATCCAGTTATGCAGCTGTTGATTGCCTACAGAGTCTTCATGGATGCTCAGTATTCAGTAGTTAGATCTGTTCTGAATATATTTGTTTTAATGTACTGTCCCACTACACAATGAAGGATAGACTCAACCCGACGACAGAACTTCGTCTCTGCAATCATTATATGGTGATAATCCCTAGCAATGCAATTATGGACATACGCATCTAAAACAGATAGATTGATGGGGATGAGGCGAAGTAGGTTTTTCTCTTTTGTTTTTTCCTTCATCATCTACTAGAGGCTTAGCCTTGCAATCAGGATTCGACTGGGTGTGGCACTACTGAGCAACCCTCAGTGATAGACACTGAAGACCCCAAGGGTATATGAAGATACAGTGCAGCTATTTACCTATATTGCTTGTATCCTACAAACAAATAATGAGTTAAAAGATTGAAATTAAAATTAAATAATTGAAACTGTCAGTTAGAACACTGCATAATAACAAACTATTGAACTGAAAGCAAGATTTTTAAAAACATTATTAATGTGTAAGTTTTTGAACTTGGCTTAGAATTCGTGTTACTCCTCAGAATTACTGATCTACATAAAGCATCACAGGTATAGCCAATTCTGAAACAAAGAACAGAAGTTCTACTTAAGTATCAAATCTTGTAATCATTATTTTCTAAACCTGTGCACTTGTTCTCTGGAGGCGAGAAGCTCCTGGAGCTCTTGAACCTTTTCTTTCTGCTGTTTGAGGGAAATCTGCAGTAACTCTCCTTCTCTTTGAGCTGCAGAGGCTTTTAGCTCTGCTTCTTGAATTCGTTTCATCTGTGAACAATAAACCAAAGTCATAATGAATGGAATATCCCTAAAGGTTTGCTAGTATTTTCATTACCGCTTCCATTCTGGCACAAAACAGAAATACCTTAAACCTCTGGAAAAAAAAAATGTCTTGCATATCTTTTGGAGGTACTTCAGGAATTGCTGAGAAGTGCTGGAAAACAATGATCCATCAAGGACAGACTCGGTCTTGATTTAGGACCAACATCAATAATCAATCCTGTGCTTTAAAATCTTTTAAACTAAGTGCATTCCTTTGGATCTTCAGACAGTCAGAAGGATCCAAGATATGTATCAGAAGGCTTTAGTGTAGAGATGCATGGCCTAGTGGTATTATCACTAGACTGTTAATCCAGAAACTCAGTTAATGTTCTGGAGATAACAACGTGTAGAGCTGGATGAACACAGCGTGCCAAGCAGCATCAGAGCAGCAGGAAAGCTGATGTTTTGGGCCTCGGATTCTCCAGCATCTGCAGTTCCTACTAGCTCTAATGTTTTGGAGACTTGGGTTTGACTCCCGCCACAAAGTGGAACTTGAATTCAATAAAAATAAATCTGGAATTAAGAATCTACTGATGACCATGAAACCATTGTCGATTATCAGAAAAACCCATCTGGTTCACTAATATACTTCAGGAAAGGAAATCTACCATCCTCATCTGGCCTACATGTGACTCCAGACCCACAGATTCTCAACAGCCTAGCAAGCCACACAGTTGTATAAATCGTTATGAAGATGCAAAGAAATGTAACCACCTGGCATCGACGTAGGCATCAGCAAGGACAACAGCAGAAAATCCCTGTCGATCCCACAGGGTAGCAGATTCATTGAAATATCTCATCTGCAAGTTCTCATTCAAGTCACTCACCATCTTGACTTGGAAATGTATCACTGTTCCTTCATTGTTGCTGGGTCAGAATCCTGGAATTCCCCACTGATGGCATTGTGGGTCAGCCCACAGCAGGTGGGCTGAGTGATTCAAGGCAGCAGCTCACCACAGCCTTCTCACGGGCAACTAGGGACAGCAATAAATGCTGGTCAGCCAGCGGTGCCCACATCTCACGAATGAATTAAAAAACCCAATTTGTCTGGAACCCTCAGAAAAGGTTTTAACTCTGAGTTAGAGATGGAGTCCAGCTACCCTACCTCTCGTCATCCTATCACCCTACCGCACCATCTGACCTTTGTCATGCCACCTTATTGAGCAGCAACTTTGGCAACCCTATCCAACTGCCACCCTAACCCAGGGCTAACTGCTTCATGCCACCCTAGCCAGTTAGCACCCAACTCAGCAGCGTTCCTTCCATCCCATTTAGCTGTCAAACCACCAGCCAGCCACCTCACCATTCCATTTCCTTAACAATTACTTGGTCATGGTAGCTGGTGCCATGTAAAGGAGCACGAATCCTGCAAAAGCTCTGAGCTGCTCCCTGCAATAATTCTTGCACAGAGTCAGATGTGAAGGATCCGCCATCCAAATACCTCCTTCCAGTTTTTCTGAGGGTTAAGTGGATCTTGTTTCATCTGATCAGGTACAGAAATAGAATTTTTGATCCCGATTGGTGATTTGGACCATTGCAATTTAGCATTGCTAATGCTTTAAGCACCGCAATTGTTCACATTTTAAACTCTATTTCTTTAGCTGAACATCTGCATTATGGTTTTCTCTAAAATTAGGGAGCTGAATGTCATCTGGATTTAGTCATTTCTTCAAATAAAAAGTAACTTCCTAATTCAGAACACTAGAGGAATAAAACAAGTATTACAATTAAATATTCCATTTTTTTTTAGCTTGCCATTTGAGAATAAACAAGTCTTTTATTTCAATTGGCAAATGTTTATAAATAATACTGCCTGTACATATTGTACTGAGAAATGAGACAGCATTAAAATAATCCAATGTTCCCAAAGCTACAGTGCAAATTGAATTAGTTCTGGACCAATTAAGCTTTGATGTCACATACTTCAAAGACGATAAATGATTTATAATATCCTGGGAAACTGTGCAAAAATGCAATTCTTCTTTTTAGGAAGTCCCTTGGGAACAAGGAGAATTTTCTTCCAGTCCAGAATTGTGGGTCCTGAAGACCAGAAAATAATCAAGGCGGTTCATGGAATGGTGGTCTTTATATCTAGAAGTCGAGAGTATAACGACACAGAAATTATGCTGCAACACAAAACCTGTTTAGGTCCCACCTGGATTACTGAGAGCAGATCTGGACACCAAATCTTGGGAAGGATATTTTGGCCTTCAGGGTGTATAAGCAGGTTTACAAGAGTGATACCTGGACTGCAGGGGTTAAGTTATGAGGACAGATTATGCACATTAGGCCCATTTTCTTCAGAATTTAGAAGGTTAAGCAGTGATCTGACCGAGGTTTTCCAGATATTAACAGGAAAGGACAGGGTCAATAAAGATAAACCATTTCCATTGGTTGGAGATTCTAGAATTAGGGGATACAGCATAAAAACTAGGACCAGATTATTCAGAAGAGATGTTAGGAAGCACTTCTTCACACAAAAGGTAGTAAAGGCTTGGAGCTCTCTTCCACAAATAGCAGTTGATACTAGATCTGTTATTAGATTTAAATCTGAGACAGATAATTTTTTGTGAAGCAAAGGTATTAAGGGATATGGGCCAAAGACAGGTGAATGGAGTTAGGTCACAGATCAGCCATGATCTCACGAATGACAGAATAGGGTTGAGGTACTGAATAAAAACAAAGTTGCTGGAAAAGCTCAGCAGGTCTGGCAGCACCTGTGAAGGAGAACACAGAGTTAACGTTTCGGGTCCAGTGACCCTTCCTCAGAACGGACCTGAAACGTTAACTCTGTTCTCCTTCACAGATGCTGCCAGAGCTGCTGAGCTTTTCCAGCAACTTTGTTTTTGTTCCTGATTTACAGAATCCGCAGTTCTTTTGGTTTTTATTTGAGGTACTGAATAGCCTACTCCTGTTCCTATGACTATATAGTCCAATGCTCGATCCACACACCCTGCAATGTAAGGTCTGATGATGTGGGTGGACTGGATGCTTGGGTTGTTATATACTCCTTCTGCTGTATGTGATTGGCCTCCATCTGGATCTGTTGGAGATGCTAAAGGTGGTTGGCACCTTTGCAGATACTTCTCTAGTTTGTGCTGTCTTTGGCAAGAGACTCCTGAGAGTCGGTCAGGATACTGGATTTTTTCAGGGGATGTCAAAGACATCCTTGAAGTATTTTCTCTGATCTTCTGGTAACCCCTTGGCGAAGTTTAGGACAAGAAAGTTTGCTTTGGGAGTACTAGGTCAGGAAGATGCGACTTGCCCAACACAGCTGATTGACAGTACCCAGAGTCTCAATCATGGGGATGTTGGTATAAGAGAGGACATTGATATTGGATCACTTATCCTAACACTGGATTTGCAGGAGGTTGTGCTGATTGACAATTTTCTTGAGGGATCTGAGGTGCCTGACGAACACTGCCTATGTCTCAGAAGCACTTAGGATGACAGGTAACACAGCTGCCCTATCGACAATTAGTTTGGTACCTGATTTAAAGGTCTTTGTCATCAAACACACTTTTCCACAGATGATCGAATGCTATCCTAACACATTGAGGCTCCCAAAACATGTGGGAATTGAACTTTCTATAATTAATCCAACAGAAGATCCATCAGATTCTGAAGTAAATTGGTAGTTTAGGGATGTACTACGCTGTTTAGTTTTCAGATGACTCTAAAATGGGCGCTTTAAAAATACATTAACAAGTTACATTTACAAATCACAGCTACGCCATATATTCAATTACCTCTATAGCTTGTTGCTGCAGCCTTTGCGAGTCTGACTTCAGAATTGTTTCTTCATGTGATTTCAGGAGCTTGCGTTGATCATCTTCTGTAGTCTTTGACTTTCTTAATTCCTCTGTAAGCATCCCTATTTTCTTCTTCAACTCTGCAATATAAGCTTGTAATTGGTTTCTGGCTTCTTTCTCGTTCATTAGCAACTCTTTTAACCTGGAATTTACATTAATAAACAGAAATATGAATTGAAAATTAAGCAACTCATTGGATATTTTAAGCGCAAACAATTTGTATGTTCCAAAATGATAGAATGTGGGTGTACAACCTAATGGATCACATAATTCACATCGTACTGAAGGGTCTAAAAAAAAAAAAAAAAAGGATGATTAAATAATGCTTACTTTTTTGACAATTACATACTTACATATGTAATGATTATTATGTATTGAAAGCTTTTTCCAAAAACAAAATCAAATGGGCAATCCACTCACACAAACAAAACTAATTTATCTCTTCCTGAGGTCAATATTTCTTTGGAAAGTCTTCAGTGGTATTTTCCAAAAAAAAAAAGAGAAAGATCAAAAATATGCAGGAATATTAAAGGAACTGATACATCATTCACCTTACATCTGGAATAATGTACAGACTATGGTACAGAACTGGAGTCATGAGGTATTTTACAAGAATGACTTTGTTCATCAGTAGTTAAATAATGGCATGTTGCATTTAGGATACTGAACAAGTTGAGAATTAACTTACTTGTTTAAGCAGTCTCTGCAGAATAGAAAACTATTTTGTAAGCAGCACGACTGACCAAAGTACCAATTCAAAAGCACTGTTTCAATTAAATAAAAATAACTTCAATATTCCACCAGAAGTGAAAATGCCAATATTGATACTTAAAACGTTTAACTGCTCTTGATTACATTCATGCAAACTTAAACTTTTCACTTTCATTACGAAGACCAAAAGAAAAATTAAAATTAAAACTAATTAAATGGTTGGCCAAATATAAATATTTAACATGTAATCAAAATTGTCTATCATAACATTCTTCTAAATGCACCATAAATAGGCTGGCTCATTTATTATTGTTTTGGTGGCAAAGCACAATAGAATCATTGCTTAAGTATTAAAATAAAACACATTGAAAGTCAAAAACGTTATAAAATAATTCATTAATTCTAAGCAGGTTTTGTCAAAATAAATACCGCTGGATTTTCAATCTTTGAAGAATAATATGAACATAAAATCACAGATCGAAAGGAGCAGGAGGCAGCTGCCTGGCCTTTTGAGCCTTTTCCACCATTGAATACGAATACGGCTGACTTTAAAACTCGGTACCCTGTTCCCGTTTCCTCCCGATACCCGTTAGTACCAACCACTCTCTCTAACTCCTTAAAAATATTCAAGTTTTAGCCTCACTGTTTTCTGTGGCAGAGAATTCCACAGGCCCGCCATTCTCTGGGTGAAGAAATTTCTCCTCATCTCAGTCCTAAATGGCCTACCCTGCATCCTTAAACTGTGACTCCATGTTCTGGACTCCCCAGTCCAGAACATCCAGTAAGATGGTGGAGGAGTAGGATGCTCCAGCTGGAGCTCGTCCGATCCATCCATTCTTCTTCTTTTTTCCCCCTCCCTCTTTCCTCCCTTCCGTTGTTTTCTTCTCTATTCTCAGACACCTGGCCCTAGCCTCCGACTCCCGGCCTCTGAAGTAGGGTTGGCAGTCCAAAGCGGGGATACCAGTGACCAGGTGCCAAGCAGGGGGCAGTAGTCTGGTGCAGAGCGTGGCTGCAGCCAGTGATCTGACCAAAGGAGGCCCACTGCTGTTTGTCTTTTTTAACTTTGCTCCTTATTTTTCTGACCTATGGTTATACAGTATATAGCTGTAATGCAACTTTTTTTCTTCATTTCTCTAATCTATAACTAAGGCTTGCACCTAGGTACTCTGTTTCTAAGATGGCGCCGTGTGTTAGTGACATTGTTACACTATAGCTATTCTGGTGTCTGAAGAAGCTGTACCTAGGTACCTGTGAACCTAAGATGGTGCTGTAAGTGGGGACTTATAAATTTTTCACTGTACTCATTTAAGTACGTGACAAAAAACTAATTCAATTTAACTCAACATCCTTCCTATGTTTATCCTGTCAAATCCTGTTAGGGAGTTTTATAGGTTTCTATGAGATATCCCCTCATTGTTCTAAACTCCAGTGAACACAGCCAGAACTAATCCAGTCTCTTCATATGTCAGTCCTGCCACTCCAGGAATCAGTCTGATAAGCCTTGTTGCACTTCTTCCACAGCCAGAACATCCTTCCTCAGGTAAAGGGACCAAACTGCATTCAATCCTCCAGGTATGGTCTCAACAAGAGCCTGTACAATTGCAGCAAGACATCCCTCCTCCTGGACTCAAATCCTCTTAATTAAGGCCAAAATACCATTTGCCTTCTTCACTGCCTGCTGCGCCTGCATGTTTACTTTCAGTGACAAGGACAGCCTGCTTGTTTTTGCTCCCAAAATGGATAACCTCACATTTATGTACATCTATCTGTTGGTAGAGTTTATAAAGGGGTTAGAGTTTTGATGACTGGATCTATATGCCGATGATTCATCATTGTTTACCTGTCACTAAAGTCTATTTATTTATAATAAATATCAGTTCTTCTTCAGTACATAAACCGGTCCATGCGGTCAACCTGGATTTAAAAGACATCTGAGCTGGTGAACTCTGCATACTTTTTAACTTTTGAACTTTTGTGGCGACTCCAGGAATAGCGGGGTTTGATTTCCAGCATGCTACCCAAGTGACATGTAATGGGTATGCTGCTCAAATAGGAGTGACGCATCAATAGGAGCTGGTGTGACTTGGGTTATGAACAGCAGATCTTTGGATAAATTCAAGTTTAAGAAGGGTGAAAGAGGGAAGAACTTGTATTGGATTAGGCAAATCCAAAGCAACAAAACTTGAGGAATTCAGCAGTACGTGAGCTGAGGCAAAAGCAGAATCATACAATAGAATGATCATAGAATCCCTACAGTGTGGAAACAGGCCTTTCGGCCCAACAAGTCCACACCGACCCTTGGAGCATCCCACCCAGACCCATCCTCCTATAGCCCACCAAAGCTACACATCCCTGAACACAACGGGCAATGTAGCATGGCCAATTCACCGAACCTGCACATCTTTGGACTGTGGAGGAAACCCACACAGACACAGGGAGAACGTGCAAACTCCACATAGACGGTCGCCTGAGAATCGAACCCGGGTCCCTGGCCCTGTGAAGCAGCACTGCTAACCACTGGGCCACTGTGCCGCCCCAAAATCAGATGATCTGATTGAGGAGGAGTTATGCATTCTTTATTGTAGGGCGGGTATGTGGTCAGAATATGGGAATATCACATTTGCAATTTGTCACCCAAGGCATGCACCACCCTGACTTGGAACTATGTCGTTGTTCCTTCACTGTTGCTCTCAAAATCAGGGAACTCTACCCTAATGGCACTGTGTGGGGGTATACCTACATGACATGGACAGTAACAATTCAAGAAGGCAATTAACCCCCACCTTCTCAAGTGCAATTAAAGATGGACAATGAGGGCTCCCCTAGCCATCGACACTCACATCCTATGAATAACTAAACATAAAATAGACTTCGACAGTAACCATGGAGTACAACAGAGTCAGAGTTAGACGCAGACTGTAAAACAGAGCTTGAGGTGGTGACCAAAGACAATCGCTCTAATCTTTCCAATACTTAGTTGAAGGAGACTCCTGCTCACCCAGTTCTATTATGCAATATGACATATTAGAGTCAGTGGAAGAAATAAGAGAAATAGTGACGATGTCAAGCTGGGTCCAATAACTTCTGCAAGTCTTAGTCCAAATCTTAAATGATTGGCTTTCCCCCAAAGATAGGTTATCCTAAGTCAACCTGGATCATTATATCAAATGGGAACGATCATAAAACAAGCCAATATTTAAGGTTTGTGTCATGTTAAACTCATTGTCATACAGAACTAATTAGTATTTAAACAGGATAATGACTAACGTAACACTACTGGTCCTGAAATTGTGGCATGGAGTATTACCATGATCATCTTCAAATTTCTCTTTCTCTGCTGTTTTACACCATTTAAAATAATGTTGTCAACACCACTATCCTATTGCCCAATTTCAAAACACTCATGTATTAATGGGTAATCATCTGGCATGATCAAATCACAGTTTTCAAAGCAAACATTACAAATAGTGTAATTAATTTACACAAATACTCAAAGCAAATCCTCACTATAATTTGAGATATAACCAATTGATTCCCTCATGCACAGTATCGTGTTCAAACAACTTAAAATACAAAATACACTACTTAGGTTGTTGACATAAACAGGATCATATCTTTTTCCATACATCTTAGATTGCACCCTTACATCCTATACTAAAACCTTGTGGAGATAGGAGAAAAAAATATTTTTTTGCTGGCATATTATGAGCACATTACACAGACTATAGTATGAATGAGAATACTTGACACAATCATTATTGTTGATATTCATAAATCTCTAACTCTGAAACGTTCGGCAACACTAGTTATTTTCAAACTGAGATTATCATATTATAAGTACTTCTTTCTGTGGCTGTCTCTTAATTAAACAAAGGAATCAGTGTGGTATGGTTAAAACAGTTATTTTTACTAAAAAGGGCTTTGTCAGGGTCAGACAAAATTATCACAAACTCTATAACGAAGTTATTCTTATAGCACATACTTCTTCACAGGTCATGCTTACTTCTTGCATATTGTTATAAAACAACATGTATTTTATTTAAGATCAATGATACTGGATAGCTGGTCAAATAATTTACAAATAAACATTGCTTTATTTTGTGATACAAATCAAATCATACAAGCCAAATTACAGCATTTAAAAAAAATAGCTTTTTTAAATTAACTAATATCACAAATATAGATTCTACGACACTATTTTACCTTAACATTTCCATATTTATTTCATGTGGCATAAAATTATTCACTGGAGTTAAAAATTTGGAATTAATTTAAGAACTGTCCTTCTCTACAATCTCAAGTAGGGTTTCCCACTGGATTTAGGGTGAAAACTTTATTGAAAACTAAAATTTCTTTTCTTAAAGAAATAAGTTAATTTTCATAGAGAACTGAAAAAAGACTAAGCAATTGAAGCAAAGAATTTTCATGCTCACTGCTGCAAAGCCAGTTGTGTTTAACGTGTGATGGGAGGAGCAGTTAGTGGACAATTATAATTCCTGTCAAACCTTACTATTCATTTTCCATTAATCAACTGCTTCCAATATTACTTCCAACACTCCGAGGACTCCCACACATCTCCTCCAAAAATCTTGTACACTGGGACCACTAAAGTAGTAGTGCCAACATAGCATCAAATCTCATCATTCTCCACTCCCACCATATCTCTTTATGGCCCTATTCCCTGACCCAACAACACATTCCACAAAACTTACAGACCACAACATCCTTCCACTCTTCCACACCTATCTTCACTGTTTCCAGATCTTTGAAACATCCCTGTGGACTCTCAAACTACTTCTCTCCCTCAGGATTCCTAATATGCCTTTGTTTAACTTATTATCTTAAATATCACTGCTCTAACCGTCTACGTACCTTGGGTGATGAAGGCCAGATCATGAGACGGATACGATACGGAGAAAAAATACCAAAGTACCAACATAGTGCAAGTTGCAGCTTTCCAGATTAATATAAACTAGTTTTTTTTTGTTAGTCATTACAGAATTTGAAAATATCCACTGTTGAAATATTTAATCAAAACATCCACCAAAACAATTTAGTACTTTAATAACTGCTATCATTCTGCTTAATGTATGCTTATCCCCTTCCAACTCTAATCTCTTTTCTGAGGTTCTGCATCAAAAAGGAGCACACTATCACCCATATGGCGGTTAGAGATTGGCAACAAATGCTGGGTTTGCCAATGGCACACTCATCCCATGAAGAAATAAAAAGTGAAAACAGACCCCAGATGGTGTCTGACCAAGGCTTTGCAGACATGAACTCACCTTTGAATTGCAATCCCTTTAACATAAGCTCAACAATTCATCAGCTTTGTTGATTACTTTTTTTACCCATGAACTACAAATGATCTTTCGTGGACAATGTACATGGTGATGATCTTAAAACTCCTTTGCTCCACAAGTTTTAAACTAAATTCTGGGTGTGAGACAAATATCTTGAAGGGTTGTCGTGCTTGAGAAGGTTACAAAGATAATGAGAACAAGGATGAGAATCTTTAAGTCAAGGCTTTCCTTAAATGTTGACATCAGTAAACAGAGGGATGATGAATTAACAACACTTGATGAGAGTCAGGCCATGGGGAGCAGAATTTTCCATTAAGGGGAGGATGGAATTACTCACATATACACCCAAAATATATTTGGTAACTGACAAATAATAATGAATTTGCTTTTTAAGGATATTTAGAACTTAACCACTTCAGTATTTCATTCTTTCCTTGTTCATTTCATGACTTCATTTTATATACTAGTAGATTTGAATACATAAAAACCTTGTGACCTTTGCAGATTTTATTGAACATATTATCTTCTATGATCTGTTTTGTATGTTAATGGCTGTTTACATACTGCACAAAAAGCTTATGTCACTATAAATTTAAACGTTTTGTCTTAAAACCCCAGGCAACTTCTCAGGATTTTCCTGATCAGTGATAAGTATAAACATAAATACTCTTATTTTTGGCATTATAAATGAATGGAAAACATTCAGTATACTGCTCCATTAAATACAAAGTAATATAATAATATATCAATCCATCAGATTAATATTTGTTCTAAGTATGTACCAACAGATCTAAGAACATCTTCTTCCCTCACCACCCACCCCAGCCCTGGTATCATAATGGATCTCTCATATATTACAGCTGATCATCTTCTGCACCTCTCTCTGCAGCTGTAATACTATATTCTGCATTCTATTACCCTGACGTACTTATGTAAAATGAGATTTGTCTGGTTAGCACGCAATACAATACTTTTCACTGATTTGGAACATGTAACAGTAAAAAAATCAAATCATTGTGAAATGCAGCGAAATTGTCCTGTTTTATAATTCTTGCAAATTCAAAACAATTTCAGCAAGGTCAAAATGTGCAATTCAGCAAACAGTATTGGCACTGTAACCTTCTTCATTCCATGATAACTAGCACATAATAAATTGCACTGAAATGAAACTTGGTTATTGTTAAAATATTTTAATTAACAAAAATATTATTCTTAATGGCCTATATTGTCCATGAATATGGACAAGCTTCATTTTCAAAATTTCCTGAGAAAATATTTGACATTCCAGACTTGTACAATCATAAAGAACAGAATAAACTTTGGTACATAACTCTTAACTATAAATTAATGACACTGTCAGTGACATCACATGTCATTTGTAAGCTTTTGCAGACGCTGAAAATTGACGGCAATATTTATATCCACTTTGGAGCTTGACCCTGGACTACAGTGTTTTCCAAAAGTCACTACTGAAGAGAAAGAAAGATTGCAGTGGGTTGAATCAAACCCAAAGAAATACTGCAGTCATTAATCTACACTCAAATGTTTTTTCACCTGCTTGTGGAAAAGTTTAACTCAGATGTACTTTCCACATTTTGGAGATTTTCAATTACATCAGGATGAAAAGCGCTATGACTTCCACAGTGTGGGTCTCAGCTTCAGGGCAGACTATCAATATGACCACCACAAATCTGCTGGTCAAAGATTTTCAGTTGTGCCACAGAGCAGAGAGCAGCAGAGTAAGGAACTGCAGAAGGGAGCTAGAAATGGTACAAGGCAAAGAGGTGAAATCCTCTTTCCAAGAAGGACTTCAGTTGCACTGAACTTAGTTCTGGAATTCTCTCCCTGAATCTCTTCATTTCTCTACCTTTACGCTGAGATGCTCATTAAAACTCACTTTTTTACCCAACATTTTGATCACCATACCTAATACCTGCTTGTGTGGCTTGGTATCAAATTTTATTTGATGATGCACATAAAAAGAACTATATAAATGTAAGAGATAACAAGGTGTAGAGCTGGATGAACACAGCAGGCCAAGCAGCATCAGAGGAGCAGGAGGGCCTAGGCCCGAAACGTCAGCCTTCCTGCTCGGCCTGCTGTGTTCATCCAGCTCTACACCTTGTTATCTCAGATTCTCCAGCACCTGCAGTTCCTGCTATCTCTATATAAATGCAAGTTGTTTTTGCAGGTTGCACAAAGAATCTTCATTTGAATTGCTGGGGAACCTACCTTAATGGTGTCAAAGTCACAACAGGGAGTCATTTATACAAGATAACTGTTAGGTTTTATTTACATGAGTATAGCCAACTTTCATGCCTAGGTACAATTTTATATACATTTTAAACACCAATGCAGTACCCAAGAATCCAAAAGTAGAACAGCACTTAAGATTTCATAAATAATTGCCTTCATTTTTTTAAACCAGTTTTTTAAAAAAAAGTTCATTGCATAACTAAAACCTTAACTAGTTTTCCCCACAAAGTGCGAAAGACGTCCCGTTTGGGACATTATACTACACGGAGTACAAAACCCAACTGTCATACGAGATACTCTACCCTGAAGCTGGTCTCACACTCGGATCTTAGTCAACACTACAATCAGATCATTTACATTACTTTCAAGTTACAAAGCTACTTTTGTGATTGTACAAAGTATTCTTGGATGCACTTGATTTACATGCTGTATTATACTGACACACAAAGTTCTGATAATAATTAGTAAATGTTATTCGGGTACCTGTCTGTGGTATGTACAGCCATGTCATGAAAATCCCTTTTCTCATTTGCTTGATTTTGCAGTTCTTTTGTGTGGTCTATCAACTGTTTCATAGTTTGCTCTGCTTTCCATCTCATCTCTCTTTCTTGGTCCAACTCTTGAATAAGGACCTAAAAGGAAGGAAGAACAAAGTAACAGTATTATTTAAGTGTAAAAAAAAACTGCAGAAAGCTGCAATATAAAAGGACTTGGGATACTTGTACATTAAACACAGTAAGCTTAGCACACAGGTGCATCAAGTAATCAGGAAAGCTATTGAAATGTTGGCCCTCATTTCAAACGTTGGGAAAATGAGAAAGTCTTCCTGCAACTGTGCAAGGGGAGACCACATCCGAGTACTGTGAGCAGTGTTGGTTCCATTATTTAAGGAAGATATAATTTGATTGGAGCCAGTTCAGACAAGGTTCCCCAGGATGGTCTCTGGTATTGAGGGAACTGTCTTATGAACAAAGGTTGAACAGGTTGAGTCTTTACTCATTGGAATTTTGAAGAATAAGGGATGATCCCATTGACACTTACAGGATTCTTAAGTGGTTTGACAAGGTAAATGCTGAGAGGATATTTTCCCGCATGGGAGACTCTAGGACCAAAAGGCATAATCTTAGGACAAAAGAGAATGACGACTGGTAACGGTTTAACCTAGAGTCACCATATCTCAGGTGAGGGCCAAGGTTGGGAAGGAGTGACCTTCATGGCAACCAGTGCAAGAATAGAACCCACAATGTTGGTGTCACTGTGCATTTGGAAACCAGTCAGCTAGCCAACTACCTACCCCCACCCCCACTTACACCTACACCTGTCAGTCAATAATCTTGGCCTAGAACCGTAAATTTCAGCTAAAGAACAGCAAAGTACTCCCACATCTGTCTAATTTAAGGGAAAAACCCCTAAACTTCTTTTGCTACCAAATAAGACATTTCTGGTTTTGTGGCATATCCATTATGTCCTTTCATCTCACTATCTGGGGCCTTTTGCTTGAGTTACTCACATGGCACATTGACTAAATTATTTCAGTAGATCTCAGATCTTCTTCAGTCATTCCACTGGAAAAAAAAGACTAAATTGTTCCTTTAAATTACCTTGTGGGCCAATATGAGCATGAACTGGGAGATTTTAGCATAACTAAATGCTGATGTATATTCAGGAAAAAGGTTTCCCTACATTATTTATTCAATATTAGGTGTTCTTGAATAGTGTACACAGTTCATCACTCTTGAATTGATTTTAAAAAAATAACATTAATTTTATTACCCTATATGTGGACTCCTCAGTTGTACTCGTTTTCTTGCTGTCTTGTGATTTGTGTTGAGGTTTTTGCATGGCTGACATATTACTGGGTGTGCATCCTATTATTTGGAGCTCAGCAGATTCCACAGGTGAACTGCTGGAGAAGTCTTCACCTCTGGGTTGGTTGTTAGACAATTTCAATTTTCGTAGGCAAGGCTGCTTGTTTCTGAGACAAAAAATAATCATTTGTGTTACACATTCATGACACTTTAACAAAGGAGGACATTCAGGAGAACACTTACAATGGAACCGTGCATTTAAGTCTTATCACAGACTTTTCTGTAAGATCTTATAAATTTTCTTTTTGACCCTCTGTTTAAAAATATATTAATATTCCACACTTTCATTCTGGTAATCATATATTTATGCCTCATAGTTAACCAATTTCTTTTTAGCATCAATCCATCACTGTTCTTTAAACATAGGATGCAGATTCCAACTTGACACGTTCGCAAATAAACCTCCATCTGAAACATTCACACATGCCAAACGACTCACTAGTTCCTTAGAGACCATTCATTAGCTATTACATTATTTAGTTTTATTTGAATAGTTACATCTTTTTAAATGTACTTTTTGTTTGCTTGTTTTATTAGTCAGCATGCAGTATCACTATTACTTTGAACCACATCTGAAAAGATCCAATGGATGACAAAGATATACAGATATTTACTACATTTTGTGCATATCTCCAGCTGTCATTCAAAACTCTGTGCCTGAACCATAACCTCCAGCCAGAGTAACAAAGTACTTCCATATCTATAGAAGGGAAAAAAGAAAATTTATTTTCTACCTAACAAGACATAGCTTTATTTTAACGGCATTTTTTGTGCCCTTCAATCTCAGCAGCTAATAGCTATTCAGTAATAGATAAGTTCAGTAATAGATAAGACTGAGCTATACGTTAACAGTAATTTACTCCTAATTGGTATTTGACCTACATAGAATAGAAAAGAAACTGTCAAACATCACTGAAGTTAATGCTGTAGAAACAAATTTTAATGTTTATAGTAGTGGGGTTTCACTATTTTTTCCATTGAGAGATCCATCAACTGTTTTCCATCAACAGTATTGACAGAAAAATAGCCAAATTGGTATTAAAACAATACAGCTGCATTTAAGGTAAGACAAAATTTCCTTCTCGGTCAGTGAAAGAAGCCCACAAATGAAAAATGCTGTTCGGAAAATAGTTCAAAAGGCTTTACAAAAGCAAGGTAAGGCTAAATAGTGAAACAATGCTTATCCTTATACCATATCTTTGACACAGATGTCTCAAAACAGAAGAATTGGAAAAAAAGATAAGAGATGATGAAAGCATAATCAAGAATATATCTTCTAAGAAAGCTTTTGAAAGCAGGAAGTGCATTATCAAGGCAATAACAATTAACTGGTGAGTCTCAAAGCAGAAGCCAAAACATTTGGAAGGGAAATCGGTTGTTCAAGGGAGGGAACGATGCCCCGGAGACCATACTAAGAAGACGAAAGGACAGAGGATTGGACATATGGGTGTAGGGATGTCATGGTACAACTAAGCAAATTTTTGCTGTGACATGCAAATGAGCTGTACAATATAGGTGAGAATTGCAGGACAGGAAAACTACATGAAACATGCTTCAAACAAAGTGAGTGGGACAAATCAACAACTGTCAAACACCCTCAACTTAATAAAATCACAAAAATGGCCTAACTCTAAAATTTATCTCATCCATTATACAAGTCACAGTTGGCATGCTATGGCAATCTACCAACACCATTCTGTACCCCAAAAGACCGTGAATTCTCATTCAGTAACATGTGGCTACACTTTTTCATGAAACACACTACCATCCATTATACACAGTCAACCAATCAACAGCAAGAATGTTAGCACGTGCAGACCTATTTCAAGCATGGTGGCCTGACAGATTAGCAATAAGATCTCGTCCGTATATCAATTTTCCTCCACTAGGTTTACCTTGATGATGGAGCAGAGTTTATTCTTAAAAAAAAAATATTCTTGGGATGTTGGTATCACTGACCAAGACAGCATTTATTGCCCACCATTAATCATCCAGAGGGCAGTTAAGAGTCAAGCCCTTTTGTATGGGTCTGGATTCATATATAGGCCAAACCAGATCGTGAAGAACATTAGTGAACTAGATGGGATTTTCCAACAATTGGTAACAGTTTCCCTTGACTCTTAATTTCAGACTTGTATTGAATTCAAATTCTATAACTTGCTATGGCAGGATTTGAACCCAGGTCTTTAGAATATTACTTGGATTTCTGGATTAATAGTCAAGCAATAATATCATGAGGTCATTGCCTCCCCTTCAGTGGAGAATATGCTGTCTGAAATGCTGATACCTGTCAGTTCTTCCAAGAGACTCTTGAAGTAACAAGTACTTTCTCCAGTTATATTATGTAACTATACATTTTTCTTTCTCAAATGTTGCCGCTCAAAGCGTGAAAACCTTTAAACAGCTTTCATATGGATTCTGTGACTGCATCATATTCAAAGTGACCAGGCACAAATGCAATTTAATCCAAGTTGATCTGTTGAGATTAAACTTACAATATATACATATTCAAATTATTTTGAAGTTTTACTTTTTAATACTTACTCAACTGCAAAATAATCACTTTGGTATCTAAAAAATGAAAGAGTTTCTAGTCTACTGGTAATTTTTGTGTAATTGTCGATAACAACAAACTATACAGAAGAGGGAAAAAGTGTAAGGAATCTGACAAATTTATTGACACATTCATTCCAATATCGAGACTTACTTATAATGAAAAACATCATTGTAAAAGATTATTGATCCATTGTGAATTACTCTACAAGCCTTCCATATTTGTCTTTAACATCATGCTTACCAGCTTATTTGTGAAGTAAGTTTGATGCTGTAAGCAAAGACCATCTATACTCCATTATGAAAATTATCTGGATAAGATTCCGGATCATGTAATCTACAGGAATTAGTTTTCAAAAGGAATAGCTTTTTAATTGCAAGAAAAAAGTTTGCCTAATGGAAACTGTGAAATTAAACTTTGATGTGATATTGTTTTTTTTTTAAAATAGCTTGAAGCTCCTAAAGAGATACAAGAGGCTGGACTTCCATCAAGAACTGGGAGCAGGGAATTTTCCCAATGTCACAAATCACACCTTTGTCCCAGCAATGCAATTTTGCGGAGAACCGGGACCCAGATTTGATAGTAATCAAAAATTTAATTGATGAAGAGTAGAGAAGGTTGAAAAAAAGACATAATAAAGGCAGCAAATGTCTCCTAATAGCTTGTCTAGGACATCAATATATGTAGTAGACAAATCGCCTCAGAAATGACAGCAATACTGTGTTCAAGTCTTGGACAGATTTGGTCTTTACACAAAGCTTTTCTGGAGAAAATAAATAGTTGGCACAATGACAACAAAGGAGCAAATTTGGAAGTTTCATTTAACAACCGACAGGGAGATAAACTACGTTAACACATATTAGGGCAGCCCATGACAGTACAGCAAAAATGGCTGACAAAAGCCCTAACAAGCTTTGCAGTATGTTTGACAGGAATTAGAGTGTGTGGGAAAGGCTTGTGTTCTCAGCGCTTAAAACAATAGCTGTCTGTTTAAATAAGATTGGGGGGGCTCCCTATCTCTTATCAAGGACAGCGTCTAAGAGTGTTGAATGGTGGATGACTCCATTACAGTCTTGTACAAGATAACAGGCACAGACATAGTTGAGAGTAAAAGGTCACAAGTGGCCATGGAGAGTTTGGTTTCCTACATACCGAAAGGGCCCATTCAGATCACAGCAACAAGCAATTACTAATATAGTGATGTACGGGAAATCCAATCATAGTTGAACAATCCAGCACTAATTAATCAACAGTATACAGGGGGAAGGGGTATGTGCCACCATGTTAATGTTTCAAGAAAAATGCATGAAAGACAATGTACTTGTATTTAAAATTAGAGTGTCATTGGCTTTTCTTCCGATATGAGCTGAAGATTAAGGGGGTAATTGGACAGTAACATTGAGGCCAGATTCGGAACAGTCTTTGGCTTCTCCCTGCATTGTACTGGTGGATGCATGAATAAATTGCCACGTGCCTTGAACTCTACCTGTTGTATAAGTGGGTTTACGGAGGTAATAAATTTTCAGGAGACAGCAAAGGACCATAGGTAAACTAAACATTAACAGGAGTTGAGAATACAACATCATTGAGGAATCAAAAAAAAAAAAAATGTCTGGGGCATTGAGATCAAGACCAATCAATATGTCTGCTGCATTTTGAGAAGAATGAAAATTAATGTGTGGTTACTTAGTGGATTGAGAAAAACAGAAATTAATGAATTTGGAATACATTATTAGCATTGAGTCAGTGGAAATGGGGTAAAAGAGTGGTTTATCAAATATGATGAAACAAAATAGGAAGAAATTGGTGTCACAATCCATTGGGGTATGAGCTAGAAATCAAGCCCCACTATTCCTCGAGTTGAAAATGTAATCCAACAACCCAAAGCCCACAATTTACCTGACTGACAAACTCAAGTTAAGTACAGAAACCTGGTGAGTTTATCAAGAAAACAGCTATTTATTGTAAATGGAACCAAAACAAAGTTGCTGGAAAAGCTCAGCAGGTCTGGCAGCATCTACGAAGGAGAAAACAAAGTTAACGTTTTGGGTCTGGTGACCCTTCCTCAGAACATCACCAGACCCGAAACGTTAACTCTATTTTCTCTTTCACAGTCGCTGCCAGACCTGCTGAGCTTTACCAGCAACTTTGTTTTTGTTCCTGATTGACAGCATCTGCAGTCCTTTTTGTTTTTATTTATTGTAAACAAATTGGTTATAAACAATGATAGAAAAGAAATATGAATTGCTAACTTATAATTCTCTATAACCTAAACCTGATTCCTTTTATATCCCTTTCACAAAAATTCCAGTCCACTAAATTTAATGATCTTTCAATTCTTTTTAGTTCTTTGCTGATTAAACAAGGTTGTCCTGACCAACATGCTGCCTTCCAATTACTGTTTGAGAATTTACCCCTTTCAGTTTTTTTGAAGGTGATTTTCCATTTTTCCTTTCTAAAAGGAGGAGAGAAAAAAGGTGAATGGAAGCCAGCTAGGCATTACTGAAGACTTTCTGGTACCTCCTCACTTGAAGAGAAACACAGTCTTTTTGA